TTAACATAGACTTCCGTCGACTTTCTGATTTGCTCGAAAAACATTTAGTTAACCAGCCGCTGGTAAGTCGCCCCAGTATTTTTCAGGCCGAAAGGGCATAATCCTGTAACAATACAGCCCCCGATCTGTAACAAAAGAGGTATGCTTTTCATTCGGTGCATACATCGGAATATGATTGTATCCCGAGTACGTGTCCATAAAACTCAGTAACTCGTACTCGGAGGTGGCATTAACGAGCTAGTCAATCCTTGGCAAGGGAAAGCTGTCTTTTGGACATGCTTTATTGAGGTCGGTGAAGTCAATGCAAGTCCGCCATTTGCCATTGGGCTTCTTTACCACAATCGGGTTGGCAACCCAACTTGGGTAGAGCGCTTCCCGGATGGATCTATTCCGAAAGAGATTATCTACCTCATCTTTCAAGGCGACATATCACTCTGGATCCATCGGTCTTCTCTTTTGACGGACTAGCCTAGCCTCACTATCGATGTTCAAGGCATGACAAATGATGTTCGGGCTGATCCCGACCATGTCGACATGCGTCCATGTGAACACATCGATATTTTCTCTGAGGAAGCTGGTCAGGTCGCTGGCGAGCTGGGGGTTGAGATTGCTTCCAATCCTCAACACTTGGTTCGGCTCGCTCTGGTCGATTGACACTTCAGATAAATCCTCAATCGGCCCACTGGAAGGGTATTCTTAGATACGAGGATCCATATTATCCTCGGCTGGGCCAAGCTGTGGTTCAATCCGGCTAATTGCTATTGCCTGTTTAGGAATACCATGTGGAGTGCCTTTTCCCCTGCACGTCATCTACACTGCCCTTACATAGCAGTCGCGAGATGCGTGTTGAGATCCGCTAACTTTCCTATTGCCGTCGGGGTGGGGAACTTAATCTTGAGATAGTAAATCGAGGTGACTACTTTGAAGTTTCTCAGCAGAGGTCGCCCTAGGATGCCATTGAAAGTGGACGGGCAGTCCACTACTAAGAACTCAGTGATCTTGGTCATCTCATTAAAGTTATCCAATGTGACCGAAAGTAAGATCGTCCCTTTAGGGATAAGGTGATCCATGTTGAAACCATATAGAGGGATGGAGGCAGGCTTCAGGTCGGCCTCATCCAGTTTCATTCTTTTGAAAGCTCACTGGAACATTCTTTCAAAAGCTTACTGGAACAGGATGTTCGCAGCGCTTCTGTTATCCACTAACATTCTGTGGACGTCGCAATGCCCTATTTGAGGCGTGATGACAAAAGCATCATCATGGGAATGATGCAATCAGACTGCATCTTTTTCGGAGAAGGTGATTTCCTCCTCTCTGCGAACCTTAGATGGTTGCAGCGTTGTGTTCATCACACAGATAAAGTCGTGATGAGCAGCGTGAGCATATCTTTCTTGGGCACCTCGCGAATTCCCTCCGAGGTGTGGTCCCTCAAAAATTATCCCTACGCTGCAGATACCCTTGCGACCATGATGCTTCTTACCCGGTTCCTCTTGATTTTTTTCCCTCATGAGAGCAGAGTCATCAACATACTCTTTGAAGTGCCCCTTCTTAATGAGGTCCCCAATCGCTTGCTTGAGTGCCCAACACTCATTGGTGTGATGCCCATTGTCCCAATGATGGCAACAATACTTTTTACTATTTCTGGTTGAAGGGGGACCCTTCATGGGCTCAGGCTCCCCAAGCAGGCAGGCCGGCCGACCTCTTCTGACTTGTGAAGAATAACAGAGATCGATGCATTCAGAAGGGTGTACTGACTCTTGTTGTGATCTCGACGAGGAACTGGAGCATAAGATTTCTTGGGCCATATCGTTGCTTTTTTCCTTTTCGCTAATCGTCATTAGCATATCTGCGATCAGCTCTCATATTTCCCCCCCAACTAGGTGCACTGCTCGAAGGGTCGAGGTCGTGGTGGTTGAGCAACGCAATGGAGTTTTCAATACAAAGGTATTTTTCTGTAAGGCTGTAAAAGCAGGTGAGGGAAACATTGTCCTCTGATTGCAGCTCTTTCCACAAATCTGTCTGTGGATGAACTCCTATGATGATGAGAGTTCGCACGGACTCTTCGAGAGTGTGAGCTACCTTATGGAGTCTGTCGATATAAGATTAGAAGGACTCGTTCCTCTCTTGCCTTATGTTGCTGAGGTAGCTCAGAGGCATCGAGAACTTCCTTTTCGCTTGGAAGTGTCTTAGGAATGTCGAGCTCATCTGAGGCCACGAGCTGACTGATTCGGCTGGGAGCGACCTGAACCATCTTTTGGCATGTGAAATGAGAGTTACTGCTAGGCAACGACATTTTGCCAAGTCAGAGACTTGGTGGAGTTCCATCAGGTCGTTGAATTCGTAAAGATGATCCTGTGGATCAGAATTTTCATCGAATGCCCGCATATCGGGCATTTTGAATCTTGATGGAAGAGGGGCGGCTAACACTGCCGGAGAAAAGGGAGAAGCCTCTGCGACCCGCCCTTACTCATTTCACTAAGCCTTTAGCTAATCCAGAGCTCGCTGCAGCTCCTCAATCTGAGGTAACGGAGCTTTCTAGGGATCACTTTCTGCAACGTGGGTTTGACCCTCATGGTTGCGATTGAGGAAATACCGTAGGTCGGATTCCTCTTCGCCTCAGCTGGCAGTTCCTGCCAATCTTGACACATGCTAGCTAGAGTCATGTGATGGCGCTAAATGGTCTGGGGAACCTCCCTGACTTCCATGGTGGTGTGAACCGACCTGGGGACGGTAGGAACTTCCTGCGCGAGACGATCGGAGTCGTCACTTTGGCAATAATAGGAATCTCCTCGCCTTGAACTTTTATAGGAGTGCTCGCGTGATGTGGCATGGGATGGCTTAGGTCGCGACATGTCACCGAGCCTTAATGCCATGGGTATTCTACCCGAGGTGCAACTAGTGTTCGCTGGCCCCTTAGAGCCTCTAGGCCCATTTTGCGCCACTTGCTTTCCCTTTCTTTCAGGCGCTGCAGTGCACACGACATGGGCTTTTGCCCTTTTCTGCGCTTTCACGTAACCTACAGCCGTTTTTTGCGGTGCCTTATTTAATTTGGGTGATACGACCCGATCCAACCAGTCCAGCCTTTGGCTGACCATTTGGAGACTATTGTTGAACCTCTCCAGGTAGCTCATGACGGCTGAGTCAAGCCGTGAGCTTGAAGGGATATCCCCCACGGTATTTTGTGGGACTGAGGGTACCTCGGGAGAAGTGTCCTCTTGTACCTGGGGGATCTTCTCATCACCATGATTGGTTTGCTCAGATTCAAATCGGCGAGCCATTTACTGTAGTGGGACCGATTAGTCAGAGATTCTCCTGATGAAGAACAATTACTAAATCAGGCCCTCCTTCTAGCGCCAAACTATTGATGCTTGATTTTGACACCAACTAATTACATGTGGGAAATACTGAGCTGACTTAGAAGATACACGTGTATATGGGGGTATTGGATTGAATAAAGGATGAAGAACAATATTTAAAGTGGTTCGGATGCTTAAACAAGCGAATCCTACGTCCACTGATATTGTATTAATATATGAGATCAGGTATTGTTTAGCGAGCTGATTTATAGCTTAGAGAATACAAGTGAATACACGAGAGAGAGAGAGAGAGAGAGAGAGAGAGAGAGAGAGAATGTATGTTATTTCAGAGAAAAATTAGCTAATCTCACAAACGAGAGAGGAGCCCTCTATTTATAGTGGGATAAATTGGGCTAATGATTACTGAATCTATGAGTGGGTCAGATTGCCGTGCAAATCCTTCATTGTGTCCCGTTACTGACCTGCTTGAGTGATTTCCTCGCTTTGTGCAGGGATTAGACACGTGGACCATTTCTAGCCTTTTGTCAGTCTGGCACACACCCACTGCACTGGCAGGAGCATGTCGCTCATGTCAGCATACAACGTGGCTGCGTCTAAATGGCTGCAGAATCTACCTAATTTCTGACTGTCCATGTTGATAAGGCTTGACATCAGCCCTACTTTTTCAGACATAACACTCTTAGTTAATTTCTTCTATTGCCATAAGTTAACTCGTCCATTATTTCACGTGAAATGTATTAGACATAATTTAAGTTCCAAATACCTCCCACAGGATAGGCTCTAGAGTCTAGACTATAGCTTCAGATGTCATTTATATTACTGCCAATTAACACATTGATTTTGGGCCTTTTATTATATAAAAACGTAGAAAGGAATCAAATTGATCTAATATAATATGTCATGAAAGATTGCTTTTGTAGATGTTAAATTTTTGATATGGATATGAATCTATAATGATCGGAAGTGTTCAAGTCAGTTTACGTATATCTCAATTAAATCCTTAGAATCCTAAAATGATTGATCGGGTAAGAGTCCCAATGGATACCTGTGTTTAAATCAGTTTGTATATACCCTAACTAAAACTTTGAAAATGTTGGTTAGGTAAAAGTCCCAATAGGCACTTCTACCAGTGTTTGGAGGAACTTGAACTTTGAAGCTTATAAACTTTGTTTTGCTCTTTTACCAACAGGTCATCTAATGATGTTTTATTAATAATTAATATGTTGGATCAATTCAAATGAATAAATTCATAGCATGATCAATTCAAATGAATAAATTCATAGCATGATCTAAGGATGGAGGTCCATTTTAATATTCTCAAAACAATAACGCAATTACTAGCACTCTGCGCTCAGTTCAATTGGAATCTTACCTCAACAGTAACACACGGCTATTTAATATTTGTACTTAATTGCTATTGGTGGCAAGCGCGGGAAAACCATTAAAAAAAATCCTATAGAGATTAATTATTGATGAACATTTGATTAAGACGCAGGAGAGTGTGTATAAAACCAAAGGAACATAGGGATCTACTGCCCCATCTTAATCTATAATTGCTTAATTAAAATTTAATAACTCAATCACTTCCCACCTTCACTGTCTCTTGTTCCAGCTCCTTCTCTTTTCTTTTTATATACCTCCAATCTCTCATTATAATACCCAATACTCCATTACCAATAACAACCAACACAATACACAGCCACATTCACTTCATCTCTTTACTTCAATATTCAGTTCAGCCATGGCTATGGCTATGGACTTTGATGACTTCCTTCACCTCGAATTCTCCGGCTACAGCTCCACCACCACCACCACCACTACCACTACTACCCCCACCACTTCTGACGACGGCCAGGCCTGTAACTGGAACGACTGGTCCCCCGTTGTCGACTGGGAAGCTTTATCAGGCGGCCAGGATGATTTTCACGACCTCATCGATTCCATGATGGACGATTCTGGGTTAAATCCTGCCCGAGTTGACAATGAAACCAGTAACTCCGTGTCCACTGACACCACCATGGCCGTGGATGAAGAAACCAACGGCGATGATTTCAAGGGCTTGAGGTTGGTCCATCTCTTGATGGCCGCTGCCGAGGCTCTAACCGGCGTTAACAAGAGCCGTGAACTGGCTCGAGTGATATTGGTTCGGCTCAAGGAGTTGGTGTCCCCTAACGACGGCACCAACATGGAAAGATTGGCGGCGTATTTCACCGACGCCTTGCAAGGTCTGCTAGAAGGCGCCGGTGGTGCGCATGGTAAACATCTGATAACCAACGGGCCGTACCACCATCACCATCGCGACGAGCATCATCAAAACGACGTGCTTGCCGCGTTTCAGCTGTTGCAAGACATGTCACCTTACGTAAAGTTCGGTCACTTCACCGCCAATCAAGCGATTCTTGAAGCCGTAGCCAATGATAGGAGAGTCCACATAGTGGATTATGATATCATGGAAGGGATCCAATGGGCTTCCCTGATGCAGGCTTTGGTGTCCAGAAAGGATGGCCCACCGGCCCCACATCTTCGGATCACCGCTTTATCAAGAGGCGGAAGTGGGCGCCGGTCGATCGGGACCGTTCAAGAAACGGGTCGTCGTTTGGTTGCATTCGCAGCTTCAATCGGTCAACCTTTTTCTTTTCATCAGTGTAGGTTGGACTCTGACGAGACATTTAAACCATCAGCTTTGAAATTGGTCAGGGGAGAGGCGTTGATTGTTAATTGCATGTTACATCTCCCCCACTTCAGTTACCGGGCACCGGATTCAATTTCCTCTTTTCTATCCGCAGCCAAGACCCTAAACCCGAGATTGGTAACTCTAGTGGAAGAAGAAACGGGACCCATTGGAGATGGAGGGTTCGTCGGACATTTCATGGACTCATTGCATCATTATTCAGCGGTTTATGATTCACTAGAGGCAGGGTTTCCAATGCAGAGCCGAGCCCGGGCCTTAGTAGAAAGAGTGTTTTTGGGGCCCCGAATATCTGGGTCATTGGCCCGGATCTACCGGAACCGTGGAGGGGAGGAGTGTTGCTCTTGGGGTGAGTGGTTGGGTGGGGTCGGGTTTAAGGCCGTTAATATAAGTTTTGCCAATCATTGCCAGGCAAAACTATTGTTAGGTCTGTTCAATGATGGGTACCGGGTGGAGGAACTGGCCAATAATAGGCTGGTTTTGGGATGGAAATCTAGGCGTCTGCTTTCAGCGTCAGTGTGGACTTCTTCGTCAGATTCAGATTAGTAAAATAGTTTGTTTGTTTAGTGTCATTATTGTTTTTATAATAAGCCCACCATTTGTATTATAATCTACGTAGCACCGAGTTGTACTGTTTGTGAATTTTGGAGCTTAAATTTTAGTTGATTGGTGTTATGTTAGTATGGAGCGGCTTATATACAAATGAAGTTTCGAGTTCCGGAATGGTTTGTGTTGTGATTGGTGCATTTTTTAAAAGTACAATTGTTTGTAAGAGGTTTGAATTTCTCATTCATTCTTTATTGTTAAATCAAGTTAACTGCCGCAATGTATTTGATTTGAATGGCCACAACCACAAATCGCTTCTTTTTTAGAGTACACATAACATTTTATGTACTCTGACGTTCTTATGTGGTTGTTACTTGCTATTTCAGCACCGAAAAACCAAACACTTTGAGCTAATTCCTTACTTAAAAGAAGAAGAAAAAATTATGTCTCCTTATTCTGGGTTTGTAGGGTATTTAATGAGTCTTGAAAATTAGTTAAAGTGTGCGTAAACTAATCCAAATACCTCGATTATAAAAGAAGAAGAAAGAAATAACTTTCTTTATAAGGTAAATACTATGTTCAGCCTTTTCGCTAACTTTCTTTCATAAACATGATGTGGTAGCTTGTAATTGGTCAGCTTACAATAAGTCATATCTGTCCAATAATGAATCTTATTAACCAATTGTGAGCTGCCACATCACGTTTGTGAGAGAACGTTAGTGAGATGGGTTTGTCAACCTATTTTTATTGTTCTTCAAATAAATGGGTACTCAAGTTTACATGTTAATGCAATAGATGGAGTTTTTAGTACAAGATAAAATGGATATTGTATTTGATGATGAAACCTTTCAAATAAATGGTTGGATTAATGAGCATTTTTAATAATTATTTGATAATAACATATTTTTAATTGCCTCCTACTACTGATCTATAAACAAAGCACTTGTGAAGGAAATGTCTGAACAATTCACTGTTTGTTACATGCGAGACAGAGAGAGGGAGTGGTTAGCAAATCCCTTTCTTTGAATGTAAAGTCTCAGCTTGATTAGGAGATTAACATAACAATAAATGGTGCCTTTCAATACAAGTTCAATATTGGTTTTGTTTGTCAACTTTGAAGAAGATTTCGCTTTCTTTAAATTTAGATTATGTCACCCAAAAAGTAATTTTCTGTAATTCATCCTAAAAAATGACACCCTACTTTCTTTATCAATCACCCACAATCACACGTAATGCTTCATTATCTCTAATGCCTCGTCATAAACTTTTGCTTTAATTATTTATCATATGATTTCTAAATCCTTAACAATGTTCCTGTTGATTTTTAATTGGCTGTTCGATGATGCAACTAACAGTCAATTTGCAACAGTTTGGGACAGCCATAAGCCCCAGCTCAAAGATGTTTGATATTTTAAATCAGACTCCAAAAGAATAAAGAAAGATCATTAATGTTGCCGCAACGTAGCGACTCAGGTGATGTTAATTAATACGAAGATCAAGTCATTATTAAAGTAATATTTTAATCCTCATTAGTAACATGTAAATACAATTGGTGGTTAAAATTGGTGTGAGTGAGTCATATAGATATACAAATATTTTTTTATTTCCCAATTGTGAATGTGTCTTCATATAAACTATAATCTTGAAAGTTCTACTAAGTATATCAAAATGTGTATATAATAACAACTACTCACAACCACAATTGGAAGGCCTAATGGTAGAAAAGTAAAATGAAGTTTCATGAGCTCTTGATTTGAAATCCCTCCAGACACTAATAGAGATGACTACTAGGGTTCTTATTCGACTGACAGTTTCAAGACTCCGAAAAATTAGTTGAGATACGCATAAACTGACCCGAATACTCTGATGATAAAAAAAAAAAAAATACTCAGACTCACAGTATAGTTGATTGTAGGTGTAGTTAAGTTGATCAATGAATTGAAGGCCACTACCTCTCTCTCTCTCTGTTGGGCCGACACATAAGTGAAATGGTAAAAGGATTTTATATCTAGTATTCCTGACCTTCTCTCCTTGAAAGTATTGAATGCTGAAGCCTATAACCTGGTTCCCCAAAGCACCTAAACTTTTATAGAAAAAGTATTTTTATTCATAAATTTACTTTTTGAAAAATAAAATTTTAAGCCCAATACCTTAATCAGCCATTAATTGAAGATTTAGCCCATTATCTAAAGTATGGCCCAGATCTAGCCTCATAAAGCAGCATGAAACAAGCCTTTCCCAAGTCTGTACACGAAAACACAAGTATCGATACTCCACCCTTCTTGGTCATGCACAGTCAGTGTACCTGGACATGATCTGAAATGCTTAAAGTTAAACCACCCACCTTAAGCTCTTATTCTTCAACATTGCTTTCGCTTTCAAAGCATTGTCATTTAAATATTCCTACTCCTATTCAAACTAAAAGAGCCACCGGCTACCCAACTCTCATGGCGACTTTGTCCGGCGTTTCCACTCAGAAAGATGCCGTTTCCCAACAAAATGTGTCGACCCAGAACAGCAATCGGCCAGTACAGGTGTTCTCAGTTGTCAATCTCTTGATTTTAGTTCTTTTTTAGCTGCTTTGAAGCGGGTTTGGGCTAATTTTTATTTTTACTATTATTTTTTTTTTTTAAATTTTTGTTAGATTTCATTGTTGATGGCATGTTTATTGTTTCATTTTGCGTTTGGTTAATATGTTTGTATAAGCCTATGTCTTCATGGCTCATCCTATTTGGGCCGGAAGATTATTTGAATTTAAGTAACTGATTTTTGTACTACTGGACTAGAAGAATGTCATTATATGGCTGTTTCTTTGAACTTGTTTAATTGTGCCAATTGATTGTAAGTTTTCTTGGTAATCGAGGTTCTTTTGCTCGTATATTTTGTAATATCAAAGCTCTAACTAAAGGGGAAGCAACCTGTGCTATTTCCTCCAGCTTGTGATTGATTGGCACTGCATAGAGTTGCTCGTTTAGAGTTTTAATTGTTGTTTTATGTGTGTTTGTGAGTTATAATCAAGAGGAACTTCATTTGATAATTATCTTTATATTTCGAATAATCCAATGCAACATTGTTATATTGGAGACTTTTTTGAGTTTATGCCTCCTCTTTTCCCTTAACAAAATTTTTGAGTTTCAACATAGAAATTATTAAGGCTTTGCGTTATGTTTTACTTGATATATAATTTTGACAGCTTTTGGTATTTTAGTGGTGCCTATTAGTAATATGAAGACGTTAGATGCTTGTATGTTTTCTACATTTTCATCTCTGAATCAGCTATACTTTTGCTGCATGAATGTAAATGGGACAAAAATTGGGGGTTTTCTCATTCTTTATTTTAGTAGATCGTAGTTTTGCTTCCTGTTATTTTGACTTACCTTATATTGCTTTTAGATGAGGATTTGGGTTAAGTTCTTCAAAACTGAGTGTACGTTGATTTACGAGTCTTGTGAGCCTTATGCAACCTTGGGCATACTTCTTACAAGTTACGATGCCATGTTAGCTTTTACCGGCTATCATCTTGAGCCATTTGACCTTATCAAACATTGCAATATGCTATAATGCAGTGCTTTCAATACTACAATTATTATATGAAGATCTGTTTCTCGCTTTCTTTGCTGAACCCTAATCAAGTTAACCACTGTGAGCTTTTTTCAGTTTAATGATTGTTGTAAATATTCTGAACAAAGGAAAAATCTTCAGCATAGTTCCATCTCTGTCAACTAAATTAGTAGAAAGTCTTGAACTTTTGTTCTTATTGTTTCTTTCTTCTAATAAGTTGGTCTCTCTCTTGTCAGGTTGCTCAGCGCTTGGAAAAATTCAAAACTACAATTTTTACACAAATGAGTATGCTTGCTATCAAACATGGAGCCATAAATCTTGGCCAGGGCTTCCCCAACTTTGATGGTCCAGATTTTGTTAAAGAAGCAGCAATTCAGGCTATTAGGGATGGGAAGAACCAATATGCCCGTGGATTTGGAATTCCAGAGTTTAATGCTGCAATTGCTGCCAGATTTAAGAAAGATAGTGGACTAGTGGTGGACCCTGAAAAGGAAGTCACTGTTACCTCTGGGTGCACAGAAGCCATTGCTGCAACCATATTAGGTTTGATCAATCCTGGTGATGAGGTGATCCTTTTTGCTCCTTTTTATGATTCTTATGAAGCCACCCTCTCCATGGCTGGTGCCAAAATCAAATGCATCACATTGCGCCCTCCTGATTTTGCTATCCCCATTAATGAGCTCAAGTCCGCAATCTCAAAGAATACTCGTGCAATTCTTATGAACACTCCACATAACCCCACTGGAAAGATGTTCACTTGGGAAGAACTTGATGTTATTGCATCCCTTTGCATTGAGAATGATGTGTTGGTTTTTTCTGATGAAGTCTATGATAAGTTGGCTTTTGAAATGGATCACATTTCTATAGCCTCTCTTCCTGGAATGTATGAGAGGACTGTAACTATGAATTCCCTAGGGAAGACGTTCTCTTTAACAGGGTGGAAAATTGGGTGGGCAATAGCACCTCCGCATCTGACATGGGGAGTGCGACAGGCACACTCTTACCTTACTTTTGCTACATCCACTCCAATGCAGTGGGCAGCTTCAGCAGCTCTTAACGCCCCAGACTCGTACTATGTGGAGCTAAAGAAGGATTATATGGCTAAGAAGGCAATTTTGGTGGAGGGCTTGAATGCTGTTGGTTTCAAGGTATTCCCATCAAGTGGCACGTACTTTGTGGTTGTAGATCACACTCCCTTTGGGCTGGAAACGGATATTGCATTTTGTGAATATCTGATCAAGGAAGTCGGTGTTGTGGCAATTCCAACTGGTGTATTTTACTTGAATCCAGAGGAGGGAAAGAATTTGGTCAGGTTCACCTTTTGCAAAGATGAAGGAACTTTGAGGAGTGCAGTTGAGAGGATGAAGGAGAAGCTGAAGAGAAAGTGACTGCTGTTAAGTTATTTGGACTCAGTTATGTCGGAGTATGTTCTTATTATAATGCTTGGCATTTCCAGGTTTATGTTAGTTTATTTTAATTCTCAGAACAATAAATATCATTTGAATAAATAGAATTGTGCTTTCTGTATCTTAAATCAAGATGCAATGCTGGCTGTTTAGGCGTTTATATGTTCACTAAATTTGCTTGCAGAAAAGGGAAAAAAAAATTAATTATTTATTCTTGAAATTGAAAGAGAAATGGTATTTTTAGTAAGTATGAGAGAAAAACAACCCGTAGTCTCCATTTGAGTACATGGATTGTGATGAATTATGGCTATAATTTACAATGAATAAAGAAAATAAATTAAAAACTTAGATTTTAATACACGGTGACGGGAATTAACAGGTATCATTTTGGATTCAAAGAGACTTGCTGGTGGGGGTAAGTTAAAATGATAACTGTAGAATTTATATAATTTCCACGGCCAAAGTTTTGCCACCAAATACAGCAGCCAGTAGTTAACGGGGTTGCACTTTGCGGAACCTTAGTGGACAGCTCTTCTTTGGGTGGCTCGGCCATCCCATCGACAGGCTGAGAAGGTGGATTATCCATTGCCGCTAGTTCTGGGCTCTCACCTTTTGTAGCACACCAAAGTCTCTGGTTTTGGGCCCTCTCCCTTTGTAGCACACCAAAGTCTGTGATGACTACTTGGTGTTTCTTCAGGTTTTCGTTTGGTTTCGGCATCCGGGAAGATTATCCATTGTCATTTGTCTGCTACCATAATGACTGAATATTCTAACAATAAGACTCATGGAGCTTTCATTACAGCCACAAGCCCTGTTTTTGCAATGCAAGGGTTTGGAATTATGTAGTATTGTGCAATACTATACAATTTCACACACTAAACATATCCTTAATGTTTGCAATAATTTTGATTCAATATTTGATTGTCATTGTTGTACGTCATATATAGGGGTTAATTAAAAGATGAATCCATGCATAACTTTTATTTAATTTAAGTAAGTCTTGGGAGAATATTTGCCTTTAGAAGAAAAAGAAATTGATCCAAAGGTGATGTGAAAGTTTCTTTGTAAACTACACCAATACCTTTTTTGAGGCATTATAATTTATACCCTACTCCATACTTACTTTTAATTAAAGATCAACTATTGATACTGAGGCGAGGAACGGATTTAACATGAGTTAATTGGTCAGCTTATGGTTTCTCTTAATAATATATGATTGGACAAAAAATCTGGTGTTAAAGCTCTCAAATCCCACTGCCTCCAGAAAACTTTTTTGTGATTCAAAATTTTTTATGTTATAATATACGGATTTCAATTACAAGTACTAAAGATTAAGAAAGTAATTAATTATAATTTAAAATTTAAACTAGAATTTGGGGGAGTGGGTGGGTGGGGGTTAGTTGGTTTTATGATAATAACATTGCTTAATTGCTATATCTGTAAATTAATTATTATTGCTTTTGCACGTCCTTCCAAGAATTATTGCAATTTACTACGAAACTTATTTTAGTTTGGGAAATGGACAGCTCTCGACATCACTCACAGTTATTAGTAAATTAAGATTATGTATAATCCTTGATTTGATTAACCTAATTAGGGTTTGATCTTTTAATCTTCAAAAGCTAGGTACGTAGAGCTTTAACCAAACAAGTGTTTGATTTATTAACTTGTAGATTTTATTTTAAGTTGGTTTCCAAGACAACTGTATAAAACTTAAACACGTTTAACACATACGTAAGTATATGACAATTTTTATTTATTTTTAAATACTGATCCTCCACCTTGTTCAAGTGGTTAAAATTTGTCATTTTTATCTTATTATTTTTAATAGTTAACCACTATTGCGGGACTCTCCTCTATATTATTAAAATTAAGGTCATGTAATTGTAAATATTTGTTTTATGAAGGGGACTGCATCACATGAGAACAGTAAATTACATGGTGTCTGGTATAACTGCTTGTCAATTGAATTTTTATGAGTTTTTAGGTAATAATATCTCCCAAACACGCATCACATTTAACTAACCAATAACCATCTACCTTCTTTATCTTCTCACGTACAGTACACAAACCCTACCCTACTCCACGTTCCACCACATCACAACCCAACAACTTGTTTTTTTGTTAAACCCGGCTGATCCTAACCCTTCAAATCAACGGTTCAATTTCTATACACTCGAATCTTATTACCTAATAAAGTAAATCAGTTATCATAAAGTTTAAGATAAATATAAAAATTTATTTATTTACACGTTTTTTTTTCATAATTATGATAGAGTTGAAATATCTGTTTAATATAACAATTTAAAACTAAATTAAAAAAAAATATTATATTTACATGAAATATCCTATTTCTTATTTATATTTATTTTTTTAGTCAAAAGAATAATATCTCTTAAATGATTTTCTTTTATTTATTACTTGATTTTTCTAAATTATAAACAACGCTTTTTTAGGTCATCACGTTTGATTTGGGCTACATATTCAATTATATTTCAATCAATCTAAGCCATTCAAAAATAATGACCATCTTCACTCTAACAAATTCCCAGATCAACGGTTATAAACGACCATACCGCTATTCAACTTTATAGCCCCGAGAACCACTTAATATAAAATTTCAAACTATGGTGGTGGCACGTGCCGGCCTGCTACAGTAAAGTAAAAAGGGGCGGGCCGAATCCAGATCCGACGACCAGATCTTCCCGTGAGGACCGAGACCAAAAATATCGAATCCAACGACTATAATTTCGCTTCTTGAATCCAACCGTTAGATCCGCATCAGACCATCGAGATTAAATCTCGCCCGCTCTCCCTGTTACACCATAAATACCCAAAAACCCGGTCCAAATTGCAGACTCTTCACTAATCTCTTCAAAACTTCTAAAATCTCTCTCTTTCTCTATCTAATATCTATTATCTCTCTTTGTGTCCGAGCTTTCTTCTTTGCTTAGAAAAGCTCAGCCATTTTTGCTCAGCGTCTTCTGACGTGTCAGTCCTTAATGTCGCCGGTCATGGTCTTAAGATTATTTCTCATTAGAATTAGAATCTCCCGTTACAGGAGTGCTCAGTAGAAATTAGAAAGTAGAAGAAGGTTTGTACGTATATTGGACCGTAGAGATTGAATTCTCCTAGGCCAATGGAGGGTCAGAAATCGCAAGCAAAGCTTACTAGGACCCAGTCATCGCTTCTCCGGTCGTCACCCACCATCCGATCGTCCATCCACAGTCTGAGCTCTGTCACCGAAGCTGAGATGCACAACGAGCAAATGGATGAAGAAGAAGGCAAAGTGAAAGAAGAAGAATTGTTACTCAAACAAGAAAAGAAAAGGAAACAACTCGGGTCATCAAATCGAACCGGGTCGACCCGGTTTCTACCCATTTTCGCAGTGGCTTCCCTCTCCTTCTTCACGCTCTTCTCTCTTTTTCTCCTCGTTTACTTTTTGAACATGAAGAGAGAAGAAGTCCCCACCTCGGAGAACCTCTTGTTGGCTTTAATCTTTATAGCTATTACTCTGTTCTTGGCGAACAAGAACAAGAAATTAATCAGACAAATAACGCAAGAAACCACAAAAAGATTCACACTTACTTCAAGAAACCAAACGAAACCAATCCAATGGTTCATTGGAGAGTCAGACGTGGAGAGACGAAGGAATGAGAAAGTAAAGAAGAAGATTGTGCGTGAAGGGGTGGAGTTTTACAGCAACGGAGATTTCTACGAAGGAGAGTTTCACAAAGGGAAGTGTAATGGAAGCGGGGTATATAATTACTTTGTGAATGGGAGATATGAAGGAGAGTGGGTTGATGGGAAGTATGATGGATATGGCATAGAGAGCTGGGCGAGAGGGAGTAGATATAAAGGGCAATATAGGCAAGGGTTGAGGCACGGATATGGTGTTTATAGGTTTTATACCGGGGATTCTTATGCCGGACAATGGTGTAATGGGCAGAGCCATGGTGTTGGTGTTCAGACTTGTGCTGATGGGAGCTCTTATGTGGGTGAATTCAAATGCGGTGTCAAACATGGCCTTGGTCACTACCATTTCAGGTATAGTTTCTCTTGCTTTTTCATTCTTGATTTGTTTTCATGGTTATAGAAGACTAAATTTTTTTGTTCGATTTTCATTGTGATCTTGATTGTTGGGGTTTCTATTTTGGTCTGTTAATGATTATTTTTTCATTACGGTATTTAACGGTTCTTAAATTTTGATGATTCCAAGATTTGATGTTGCGGAATGATTTAGAAAGATTTAACATTATACATATGGAATTTACTATAATTGGAATAAAACAGGGATCTGTTAATTGTTTCAGTGTTCCACATTGTTTTCTTGGATTGTCCGGAGATAAATGCTCGGAATTTTTGTTTAATTTTCTGATATTGTGTCTCAGATTGTTTATATTATTGATTATTCCTGGCAATAAAAACTCCGATTTGCCTTCGTTGCCAGAGTAATACTAAGAAAGGATTATGACTTTTTTTTTTTTTTAACGATACTTTAGTCTGTTCTGCTTCTTTATTTTCGTTATTGTATTGCTTAAATTTATGCTACAAGGCAGATGTCCTTTTAATTTGATATTCTGGATTTATAAATAATCTCATTGTGAATCTCTGTTCTAACTGTAAATTTGATGTCTTTGTAGAAATGGAGATCGATATTCTGGAGAATATTTTGGGGACAAAGTCCATGGATTTGGTGTTTATCACTTTGCTAATGGCCACTGTTACGAGGGATCATGGCATGAAGGCCGTAAACAAGGCTATGGCATGTATACTTTTCGCAATGGTGACACAAGATGCGGAGAATGGGATTGTGGCAGCCTCAAGACCCCTCTTCCCCCACATACGGATGCAGTACTTAGAGCAGTTCAGGTATTGTATCTGTCATTTACTTGTTCAATAGACATTACCTCTTAATGGTAGCATGACAAGTTGTTACTCAACCCAGTCTCTCATCATATATTTTGGTTCTTAAATTGTAGGGTGCTAGAAAAGCTGCTGAGAATGCCATTCACCTACGCCGGGTGGATGAACAGGTGAACAAGGCAGTGCTGGCCGCAAATAGAGCGGCCACTGCTGCTAGAGTTGCTGCTGTCAAAGCTGTCCAGAACCGGATGGATGGTAAATTTTGTGATACAGATGTTTAGGAATTTAGCTTTTTTGCAAAGTGTAAATTTTACTAATTTTATGTACCTGGAAGAGGTCAACCCGTATAGCAAAAGCTTATCAGAGGTTGACAGAGTATGTTTGAGGTATCTTTGATCACACTGTAACTTGTATATAAACCCTGTAAATGAATGGAAGATGAATGGTCCATAGTTTTGTTTTTGTATTTTGTCTGTTATTCCATTCAGTTGAGAAATTATGTGGAGTTGTTTCATGGAACTCAATTATTGTGTCTTTCAAAGCAATGTGGAGTCATAGGTTTGTTTCCATCTTGTCTGTTTAAGCATATCATCATTCATCAACAACTACCATATGGAAGCCTTATCTGCAATTTTGGCTTTGGGACCTTTTCTCAAATAATTGAGGAGGCTGCAAATTTTAAAAAGAATGCTTTGTTGGGAGACAAATTGGCATTCCAACTCAGAACCAGAATTGGGATAAACAGAATGTAATTTGTGACCTATAAATCAAGAAATACGGAATGTCATAGTAAATGCTTTCTCTGCTTTTTACCTTGTTAAAGAACTTTTTCGCTTTCCGTAAAGCAAATATCTTTTAAGTTTCTGATAGTTGAGTTTCATCTTCCAGTCAACTCTTTTAGCAGAAGTGAAAATACATCGATATTTCTTCACACCTCACATGACAACCCATAAATTTTTAGCCAAAACTCCTTGAGATAAGACACATAATAGAGTCGGATTTTCCTGAATTTAAACTTAAAAATATCCTGATATTCTTGTTTGTTCGCTTAACACTATCTGTTCAAAGAACTTCTCAAACAACTATACCCATACTCAAATCACAGAAAGTCGACATGATAAGATGTGAAAGATCTAAGCCATCACACTTTGCCCTTTTCATTTAAACCTGTCAGCAGATGTCCTATGCTATATAATTGTCTTGTATAAGACAGGCTATATTTAATCTCATTCTATACATGTAGTGTGACTCATAGTCACCACCATTACTAAAATTTAGATGCCTGTATATATTTCATTAGTTTAAGCATAAGAAGGCATGTGCCATCCTTCTTCATGTAGGATAATGTTGGGTCATTTGACATTATTCAGTACATATAAGCACATCGGTTATAAAAGACCATACCGCTATTCAACTTTATAGCCCCGAGAATCACTTAATATAAAATTTCAAACTATGGTGGTGGCACGTGCCGGCCTGCTACAGTAAAGCAAAAAGGGGCGGGCCGAATCCAGATCCGACGACCAGATCTTCCCGTGAGGACCAAGACCAAAAGTATCGAATCCAACGACTATAATTTCGTTTCTTGAATCCAACCGTTAGATCCCCATCAGACCATCGAGATTAAATCTCGCCCGCTCTCCCTGTTACACCATAAATACCCAAAAACCCGGTCCAAATTGCAGACTCTTCACTAATCTCTTCAAAACTTCTAAAATCTCTCTCTTTCTCTATCTAATATCTATTATCTCTCTTTGTGTCCGAGCTTTCTTCTTTGCTTAGAAAAGCTCAGCCATTTTTGCTCAGCGTCTTCTGACGTGTCAGTCCTTAATGTCGCCGGTCATGGTCTTAAGATTATTTCTCATTAGAATTAGAATCTCCCGTTACAGGAGTGCTCAGTAGAAATTAGAAAGTAGAAGAAGGTTTGTACGTATATTGGACCGTAGAGATTGAATTCTCCTAGGCCAATGGAGGGTCAGAAATCGCAAGCAAAGCTTACTAGGACCCAGTCATCGCTTCTCCGGTCGTCACCCACCATCCGATCGTCCATCCACAGTCTGAGCTCTGTCACCGAAGCTGAGATGCACAACGAGCAAATGGATGAAGAAGAAGGCAAAGTGAAAGAAGAAGAATTGTTACTCAAACAAGAAAAGAAAAGGAAACAACTCGGGTCATCAAATCGAACCGGGTCGACCCGGTTTCTACCCATTTTCGCAGTGGCTTCCCTCTCCTTCTTCACGCTCTTCTCTCTTTTTCTCCTCGTTTACTTTTTGAACATGAAGAGAGAAGAAGTCCCCACCTCGGAGAACCTCTTGTTGGCTTTAATCTTTATAGCTATTACTCTGTTCTTGGCGAACAAGAACAAGAAATTAATCAGACAAATAACGCAAGAAACCACAAAAAGATTCACACTTACTTCAAGAAACCAAACGAAACCAATCCAATGGTTCATTGGAGAGTCAGACGTGGAGAGACGAAGGAATGAGAAAGTAAAGAAGAAGATTGTGCGTGAAGGGGTGGAGTTTTACAGCAACGGAGATTTCTACGAAGGAGAGTTTCACAAAGGGAAGTGTAATGGAAGCGGGGTATATAATTACTTTGTGAATGGGAGATATGAAGGAGAGTGGGTTGATGGGAAGTATGATGGATATGGCATAGAGAGCTGGGCGAGAGGGAGTAGATATAAAGGGCAATATAGGCAAGGGTTGAGGCACGGATATGGTGTTTATAGGTTTTATACCGGCGATTCTTATGCCGGACAATGGTGTAATGGGCAGAGCCATGGTGTTGGTGTTCAGACTTGTGCTGATGGGAGCTCTTATGTGGGTGAATTCAAATGCGGTGTCAAACATGGCCTTGGTCACTACCATTTCAGGTATATTTTCTCTTGCTTTTTCATTCTTGATTTGTTTTCATGGTTATAGAAGACTAAATTTTTTTGTTCGATTTTAATTGTGATCTTGATTGTTGGGGTTTCTATTTTGGTCTGTTAATGATTATTTTTTCATTACGGTATTTAACGGTTCTTAAATTTTGATGATTCCAAGATTTGATGTTGCGGAATGATTTAGAAAGATTTAACATTATACATATGGAATTTACTATAATTGGAATAAAACAGGGATCTGTTAATTGTTTCAGTGTTCCACATTGTTTTCTTGGATTGTCCGGAGATAAATGCTCGGAATTTTTGTTTAATTTTCTGATATTGTGTCTCAGATTGTTTATATTATTGATTATTCCTGGCAATAAAAACTCCGATTTGCCTTCGTTGCCAGAGTAATACTAAGAAAGGATTATGACTTTTTTTTTTTTTTAACGATACTTTAGTCTGTTCTGCTTCTTTATTTTCGTTATTGTATTGCTTAAATTTATGCTACAAGGCAGATGTCCTTTTAATTTGATATTCTGGATTTATAAATAATCTCATTGTGAATCTCTGTTCTAACTGTAAATTTGATGTCTTTGTAGAAATGGAGATCGATATTCTGGAGAATATTTTGGGGACAAAGTCCATGGATTTGGTGTTTATCACTTTGCTAATGGCCACTGTTACGAGGGATCATGGCATGAAGGCCGTAAACAAGGCTATGGCATGTATACTTTTCGCAATGGTGACACAAGATGCGGAGAATGGGATTGTGGCAGCCTCAAGACCCCTCTTCCCCCACATACGGATGCAGTACTTAGAGCAGTTCAGGTATTGTATCTGTCATTTACTTGTTCAATAGACATTACCTCTTAATGGTAGCATGACAAGTTGTTACTCAACCCAGTCTCTCATCATATATTTTGGTTCTTAAATTGTAGGGTGCTAGAAAAGCTGCTGAGAATGCCATTCACCTACGCCGGGTGGATGAACAGGTGAACAAGGCAGTGCTGGCCGCAAATAGAGCGGCCACTGCTGCTAGAGTTGCTGCTGTCAAAGCTGTCCAGAACCGGATGGATGGTAAATTTTGTGATACAGATGTTTAGGAATTTAGCTTTTTTGCAAAGTGTAAATTTTACTAATTTTATGTACCTGGAAGAGGTCAACCCGTATAGCAAAAGCTTATCAGAGGTTGACAGAGTATGTTTGAGGTATCTTTGATCACACTGTAACTTGTATATAAACCCTGTAAATGAATGGAAGATGAATGGTCAATAGTTTTGTTTTTGTATTTTGTCTGTTATTCCATTCAGTTGAGAAGTTATGTGGAGTTGTTTCATGGAACTCAATTATTGTGTCTTTCAAAGCAATGTGGAGTCATAGGTTTGTTTCCATCTTGTCTGTTTAAGCATATCATCATTCATCAACAACTACCATATGGAAGCCTTATCTGCAATTTTGGCTTTGGGACCTTTTCTCAAATAATTGAGAAGGCTGCAAGTTTTAAAAAGAATGCTTTGTTGGGAGACAAATTGGCATTCCAACTCAGAACCAGAATTGGGATAAACAGAATGTAATTTGTGACCTATAAATCAAGAAATACAGTATAAGTTATAGTAAATGCTTTCTCTGCTTTTTACCTTGTTAAAGAACTTTTTCGCTTTCCGTAAAGCAAATATCTTTTAAGTTTCTGATAGTTGAGTTTCATCTCCCAGTCAACTCTTTTAGCAGAAGTGAAAATTACATCATATTTTCTTCACACCTCACATGACAACCCATAAATTTTTAGCCAAAACTCCTTGAGATAAGACACATAATAGAGTCGGATTTTCCTGAATTTAAACTTAAAAATATCCTGATATTCTTGTTTGTTCGCTTAACACTGTCTGTTCAAAGAACTTCTCAAACAACTATACCCATACTCAAATCACAGAAAGTCGACATGATAAGATGTGAAAGATCTAAGCCATCACACTTTGCCCTTTTCATTTAAACCTGTCAGCAGATGTCCTATGCTATATAATTGTCTTGTATAAGACAGGCTATATTTAATCTCATTCTATACATGTAGTGTGACTCATAGTCACCACCATTACTAAAATTTAGATGCCTATATATATTTCATTAGTTTAAGCATAAGAAGGCATGTGCCATCCTTCTTCATGTAGGATAATGTTGGGTCATTTGACATTATTCAGTACATATAAGCACATGAGGTTGTGGACCTGCTGGTGGGTTCTTGTCTTTATGATAATACAGTAACTTTTTATGCATGCTAGTGGATCCACAATCTGAATTTTTTAAAAGATAAACATAAAAATAATAAAAGAACCCTCTCTTTCTTTTCTTATGTTTGAATTTTCAATTCTATATCTATATATGTAGATCCTTTTTCTTGCTTGGTTTAACTTTGGCTATTACAGCTAGGTACCGAAGATTCAAATCCATTTTTAGCTCAAACTTTCAACCACTCCACATGCATTTCACAGAGAGTAATAAAGTTTTATAAAAGTAATCCAACAGGAAAGTACCAGAGGGGTTTTCTGGGGTTAAGTGATGAGATCATTTCTGCTTCCTGCTTTTGACTAATCCCAGAGGGGTTTTGGTTTACCTCAGCCCTGACCTGGCCTTGTTCCCAACATGCACCTCTCTATTTTTTATAGTCAAAATAGAAAGGGAGAAAGAGTGAGAGAAGGGAGTGTTTTTGCTAAGATTATTCTTGTTTGTGTATATAATGTCTTCTAGCATGTCCCTACCATTACTAGAATAATAATCCAGGTTATAGGTTAAGCTATGATTTAATAATAAGCATGTTGTATTCATCTGTTTTTCTTGGGAGTGTTAAATCGCTGACCACTTTAGCAATGCTTGAATTAAAATATTTTTTTAGGGTTTTGTTACATTCATCTGAATTATCTGATGTGGTCAAACTTCTTGGAGGGAATCCCCATTTAATGTTTGTTAAAAACTAAGCCATAAGGTGAGGAGTTTGTCCCCATGAATATATATATATATATATAAAACAAATAAAGCCATTGGGAAGACACATTAACTTGCCCAATTCCATTCATTTAATATCGCTTTGGGGCACTCATCACTGTATAGAAATTTGAGTTTTAAACTTCTTTTTCTTTTATTCTTTTGTAGATTTTAAATACAAATATCATAACAGAGACTCAGAGAGGCGGCATGTTTGGTTCCTGCATTCATTATTCATTATATCACCTCAGAATTTCCCTTATCTTTTGTCCCATCAGTCTCTTTGAGTTTTCGTCTCTCTCTTACCCCACCCCCCACTATAGATTTTGAGTCAGATTATTCATATAACCTAAACTCTTCATTCTAGAACTAATTTATCAATGAATCAATCATTCACCTTTTACTGTTCGGCAGATTTAACTTATATTAATAAGTTCAACATTCACAACCATTCAATACTGGAAAAATCATAACTGCAAATCATATACTGCCACATCATAATGAATCGATTATAAGGTTTGCTTTGGCTTTGGTTTTGTGCCCTGCAACATGTCAATTGCTGTCTTTGATTTTAAATATCAACTATAGAAATAGAAAAAGAATAACCAATAGCTGCAGCTTCTCTCTTTTGCTTGAGACTTACTCAACCATGATGAAGTTGGATCTTAATGAACTCACCATCTTGGTATTTACGTTCCATAATTAGCATGGAAAAGCCCTAATATTCTAAACTACTTTTTGAATTATGATGTCAAATTTTTACTCTATAAAAAATGCTTATTTTTCTGCTCTGATAAAATCATAAAAGCATCTAAGAGGGAAAATTTGCTTTACCAAACAAGTTCAAATACTTGAATGTAAACTAGCTTAGAAAAGTTAATATTGATGAAGGGTGGGAGTCCAAAGCTAATTCCAGTATCTAGACAATAAGTGATGTTATAAATAGAAGCAATTTCTATTTACAAAAGGCAAACATTTGCATAATTTTTTCATCTTTTGTAAAACAATTAGGTCATGTTGCGCGTACTTCAACTAATCTCCCGAAGCTTTGGAATTGCCGACAGGATAAGAGCCCTAGTAGCCATCTTTATTAGTAGTGTTTCTTTTTACTCTTTTATCATCAAGCCAATCAAATAGTGGTTGTAAGACAGTATATTCATTATATGCAGTGGTAATATTCCTTTTGAAAGTGTCTATATCTTGCTTAATTTGTGTAAGGTTAGAAATCTGTATGAATTTTTATATTTTTCTCAGAAACCATTATATATTTTAACTTGGTCTTGAAGCTCATTGACCAAATACCCTTGTTAAAATCGCCTTGAACCACAAGGGTTCTGACCGAGTTTTGAAATTTCTTAGCGGTTCCAATCAAACACTTGATTCTTTCGCATGACATCTAAAGTTAATAGTTTAGAAATATTTGCCGTCCAAATTTGATTGCGTTGTTGTTGAGCAATTAATTTAAAAGTAGAGTCTACAAGGCAAGAAGTCCAAAGTGAAAGTGATATAAATAATACATATAGCAATTACTCTTTATCATTCAAAGCTGTCTGTGACTGTGATAATATATATGAATATGATTCAAATGAAGCAAACTTCTCCTTTTGGTTCTCTTTCTTAATTTTCTGGTAGTAATTATGAAGCCGTGACTTGATTAAGTCACCTAATCCAGTACTCCTTTGTTGACTTAATGCAAATATGGGCACTAAATAATGTGAGGTTTAGTTGATTGAGATTGAGTGGCTTCATAAATTTTTCTTTCAAGCTCTCCCTACTCCTTTTTAGATGCATGAATGAAATTAAGGTAATGGGTTTACGTCATGAAAATCTCTCTTTATGACTTTAACCATTACTTCTATCAAAGTAGTGTACCAAAATTGAGCAAGATAACCTTAATCCATTTCTATATTCTACTTTTTAATTATGATGCAGTTGTTCAGAGTTGCGTGCAAGCCGACTTGAATAAATATATTCACATTTTTGTTGCATAAAATTCTTTTCTTTTTTAAATTTCCACAGTGGCCAAGGTTGATGGAGCTCCTTGTACGCCAAAGTCAAACCGCGTCGTATTAATACAAATCATTTTCCAATTAATTGATCTCACAACCGTTTGATTGAATGAATCAAAACTTTTATAGCGTTGACCCTCTTTTTGTTTCAGAAAATATTTATGAGGTTAACTTTTGTGTCTCATTTGTCAAAAAAATCTATCTGCAATGCCTGCCTGGTAGGTTTTTATTGTATTGTATTATTGAATATTGTTTCTTCCAGTCCGAGTCTTCCTTCCTTCCTTTTTCAACGCTACACGTTATTCTTTTCAGATTACTATTTTCAATTGCATGCATCACCATACACGTTGATACCTTCACCAACTTACTCAAAACTTTAGGCCAAGTAATGTCTGAATCTATTAATAAAGTATATACTGTGATTACTGGTTGATTCGGCTGCAGCACTAACACTTTCGGTGGGCCAAAATTATATTTCTGATAATGGCGGGTTAGATAATTATGCTTATGAACCCCACAACCATTTTGTCTGTAACATTATCAACCCCGTTAGATCGGCTAAAGGGAATTAGATAACAATAATGCTTGGAAGGAATCTTGTGTAATTAATTATCCTTCCAAATATAGGTGGAAATTGATTGTTAATTGAGCAGCATATATGATTAATATTCATTACAGAAGACTGAAAAACCACTGTTAAAGATCATTACTGATTCTGAATATAGAAATTAGAATTTCCCTGAAAGGGGAAGTGAAATAAATTGCTTACAGGGTCCAACTTAATCAATACACAATCCACAGATATCTATGATTCTGCGCCTGCTTATGCTATGATCATTACTCATAGTCTCATATTGGTTATCGATAATTTCCATCTGAAGCTTCAGCTTAATTACAAGTGGTTTGCTTTTTGGTATCATAATAAACACCGTTGCTGATTCAGGAAGGTTTTATCCAAATCAATAATCGATATATTCAATCAGATTTTACGCACAGATTGGTCAATCCAGGAGGACAGAGCAGTGAGTCAGATCACCTAACACTTGAAAAAAATTATATATAAAAAATAAAACCCTTCTTCAAATTGGGATGAAAAATGGTTGATAATTTCTTGGAATCATAAATGCTTTGAACCAGCACATGAAGTGGTTAGACATGTTTTCTAATGCAGTGCTAACCATTTCTTACAGATATTGAATTTATATTTCTTGCTTCTTGTTATAAATTAGTTGTTGGAGATACGGTATGGATATTTGAACAAAATTTATGGTTAAAAGAGTAGGAACTTGATGAGAAATAATAATGGAAGATCAATGTCTTCGTGTCTCTTTTTAAACCGTACGCTCCAGTAATGTAATGATAATGTAGAATCATGGTCAGCCGTGGGAGACAAAAGTAAATATTGCAATCATATTCTACTTGTAACCTAGCTTTATTAATTCTCATTTAGAGTAAACGACTGTTTTTCCATCCAAACAGTAATTTAATGATACTTTCTTACTTAAAGATTTTTAAAATATTATTTCATTATCTAAATTTATGTTCCCTTTTTTATTTTGACATCGTTACAACCCCATACCACCACTATTCTCTTCCTCAATCATTACCCATCAAAACCTCTCAAATTCTACCCCCACTAACCTCCATCAATTGCCGACAACCAAGCGTTAAGGGTTTGTGTAATCTCTCTCCCAAGTCAAATTCTGATCAATCCTAACCACCAAAATTCAATCTTCTACCACCAAAAAGCTCATCGGCCTCCCCTCTTCAAAAACAGCAATAGCCTAAACTAGAGTTGCTCTCTATACACCGTTGGAATATAAATTTGGGTAATAAAGTGATGTTTTAAAAGACTTCGAGTGAGAAAGTGCACATTAAGCCATTATTTTGGTGAATAAAAGTCGTTAACTCTTCTGATTTAATACTGCCTCTGTATTTAGGTTAGCTTTAACCTGTGCGAAACCTCGGGGGCACTATAAAATTTGAGTGATAATACACTTACAAAGAAATTTTACAAAGATCTACATACAAAGTAATGTGGCAAAAAATGAATGGAAGAGTAAATTTAATAAGTTTGACTTTTTATTTCACTCTTCCATTTATTTTTTTACCGCCTTACTTTGTATAGAAATCTTTGTAAGATTTATTTGTAAATATAATATTATTGATAAAATTTTCAGAGTGGACAAGTCAATTGAACTGGCCTCGGGGTCTCATTGTCTCAACCAAATCTAAAGCCCATCATATTGATAATATGGGTTAATATCGGGCCCATAGAATCAAAAAAACAGAAGTCATGTGTGTATAGAAATTTAGAGAGTAAATTCAGTACACATAACTAACACCAGCCCAGAAAAAAGGAATGATGTAAAAAAGGCCTAGTATTCGAGACTTGGAACAGGCCCAATGACCAAATTTGATAGGCCTTGACAGTTGACCCATTGACATTTCTGGGTCCAAAATAATGAGACCTTGGTCTACTTTTTCAGCACCACCCACAAACAACGGCTCCTGGTTTTGGATTTCGAAAGCACGAGTTATTGATAACTGAATCCTTCTAAATATTCAGATTAAAATAGGAAGATTATTAGGTAAAATATTGGATAATCCTGACTAAAATGGTGTAATAATGCTTTTCTTCTCTTGAAAATTAAAAAGCAGAAAGGGGAATGCATTTTGGTTCAAACTAAGATGCTAACGTCTCTTCTCGGGAAAGTTAAACCATGGCATACATAATACATTATCTCGCTATTTGTATTTTCAAATTAACCTCTCAAAGCACCACACCTCACTCATTCTTTCCTTAACTTAGACGACGACAGTGTGAACAAAATAGCCTTCAAAATTATATGCACAAAAAGAAAGAATTGATTTCTGCAATCCCAGAAAGCCTTACTTTTCTGCATTTCATACCCCTCGATCTTCACGTGTGCACGATTATATATATAGAAACGTACCTTTGATTTCGCCTTCACCTACATTTTCTCTCCAACAGTAAACACAAACAAAACTAAACCATGTCCTTGAGCCCACCTAGAGAAAGAACCGAAGGCGCCAGCGAACCTAACAACAACAGCAACAATGGCGATACCAACAGAAACTTCCACCTCTACTGGTGCTACCAATGCCATACAGCCGTCAGGATTTCATCATCCGCAAACCCCTCAGAGATCATCTGCCCTCGATGTCTCGGCCAATTCGTTCACGAGATTGAAGTCACTAGACCAAGACTTTTCGTCGATTTCACAGCCTTTGATCCTTCTCCAGAAGCCCGCTTACTTGAAGCGCTCTCCATCATACTCGACCCTCCCATCAGGCTTTTCAACCGCACTCCTTCTGATATCCAAGAACCCTCTCGCGGCCGTTCTTGGTTCCGTCGTAGAAGCAACAACGTTGACATCGAACCAGAACCTACAACTCCTCGTCCTCGGACTTGGATTGTGTTTAGACCAGTGGGACCTTCAAATCCTATTGAACCAATCATGCGACCTACACATCCTGTCCCTCGTGGAGTCAGTCCAAGGGACTACTTTTTCGGTCCAGAGCTGAACCAACTGATAGAAGAGTTGACACAGAATGATCGGCCGGGTCCGCCTCCGGTACCGGAGGATGCCATCGATGCAATACCGACGGTAAAAATCACGGAAACACATTTGAAGAATGAGTCAAACTGTCCGGTTTGTAAAGAGGAGCTCATGGTTGATGGAGAGGCAAGAGAGTTGCCTTGTAAACATATATACCATAGTGAATGTATTGTTCCATGGTTAAGGTTGCATAATTCTTGTCCCGTTTGTCGCCATGAAGTGTCCATTGCTTCTGATTCTAATATTGATACCAGTGGGGCGGATGATGAGATTAGCGAGGATCATGAAGAAGAGGGTCTTAGAAGAAGGTGCTTGAGGTTGAGGCAATTGGCTTCTTTGTGGCCTTTCAGAGGAAGACATAGAAGAATTAATCCACGGCCTGATACTGGTGGTAACTCTCAAGGACAAGGTAGGAGAAATAATTGAATTAATTGTTATTCTGTAAATAATACTACTATCGTAATATTGTAAATTGTGGCTCTGGATTTCTTCTTTCTCTTAATGCTACTGAAGTAATGTTGAATTTTCAGAAGTTGGCACAAGGTCGCGTCATTGCAATATTCTATAGCCCTTGTATGAAGCTCTTCCTCTTCTTGCTAGAAGCAAACTGTATATCTACTTCATACGGTTAAAATGTTAGGAATTTATGTGAAAATTAACTAATTATGGAAGGGGGATACCTATTTACCCGCGTGCTGTTATGTTCTTTTTTTCTTTATTATATCAATTTAAGAACGGTTGAAACTCCTTCGGAAACAATGACCTTGAAAGGCTTCACTTGTGTCATTCACTCTACCAAGAGACACAGATGAAAAAACTGCCAGTACTCGCAGATCCCTGCACTGTTAAAAGAAATTTTTTTTTTTTTTTTTTTTTTACCAGGGGAAAACGTAGCATATCTAAATTTTAAATTGTTGATCACCTACGTAATTGTCAACCATAAACGACCCTAAGAATATAATCAAATATATTTTAATAAAAATTGACTTATAACCCAATCTTACAAACATTCTCTCACAATTTCGACATGAAAATTCGTAATTAAACAAGTAAGACTCATTACAAGTTGACCAATTACAAGTTACACGCTAAGATTATAAGATTAGATTATAAATACAATATTGTCCAATATAGATTATGTAGCGCTCTTTAACCAGAACTACTATAATAATTGAATTAAAACAGTTATTAACAGTGACTAACCAATTCTGGAGTAAAGTTTACCGAGGTAAACAGTATAAAAAAACCTCAAGAGAGTACAATCATAAACCAGCAAAGGATCATGATATTTTTGTAACTAAGATTTGAATGATTTTAACAAAGGGTACATCTTAAAGCCAGTTCAATATGAGTATACATCTTTCAAAATGTTTTGCACCAATGTACCTATTAAAAATAAAAGTTTAACATTCAACATTTCTTTCCTTTCGCCTTTTGAGTTTGGGGAAGAAAAATAGGTGGAAGTTAAGGGAAAAGAGGCTGAGGAGGTCCATCTAGAACCAGCTCACAAATGCTTGAGTTAATCTGTATAAGCCATGTTCTCGAACATTATCTCAATACTGAAGCCCTACCAGCGTGAAACCCTTGTGTATATGCCGTGTTCTTGAATATTGTCTGCAATAAAGGATTCCCAAACCAGATGATATAATGAAAATTGTTTATAATACATGTATCAACCCCAACCAAATATACATGGTAGTAATGCCGTGGCCCATGCTATATATAATACAGTAATATGCTAGACATGAACTATGTTAAACGTTGAGACACTCAAGTGTTGCTTTTAGGAGAAGAATTTAAGGAATAAGGAAGTTCGGTTTCATGAAATACTCACAGCAAGGTTCTTGAACTCTGAGCAACAGCATTTTTTTAATCTGTTGGCAATCTCAGTTCCAAGCTCTTCCCCATGTTCTTGGATACTGCCATCCTTGGTCTGTATAATTCAAGTGCTCAAGATTATGAAAAAAATTACTAATTAGGTTGGGAAAGAAGAAAGCGTAATATCCTACATACTTCTGAAAGTATTTGTGCTGATATTTTATCCAGAATCTCTTCCACAAATTTCTCAGCATCTGTAAACGAGCTTGAAGTATTTACAGCATTGGCTGACTTGTCCTTAATATTATGAACATTTTTGGCTGGCTTCACAGCTTTCTCTGCACCAACAAAAGGAAAAAGGGATAACTGCAGTTTCGGTAGCTCAATTAATGCAAATTAGGCGTGCAAAATTTCGGTTTACCAGAGAGAACTTATTTAATTCAAGCTTCATTCTTGCACTAACAAGAAAACAAATTCTTGTACAAGAAATTCACTTCTTTTTCATTCAGATAGATCTATTAACATCAAAATCAACATCATAATCTAAACAAAATCAGATCATTCCAATGTCTTTCCAACACCAAATTTTATTAATTATATATGTACCACATTCATTTTATACATGGTGCGAACATACCTGCCACCGGCTTGGAGTTACTACTAGCTGTGACATTGTTCCCACCAGTATTGTGTGAAGAAGCTGTTTTTTCAGCAGGATCTGGCAGAACCAGAGAACTAGATGGAACAAAAGCAGCCAGGTCAGGAGGTTGATCTTTCCCTACTGTGGGGTTAGCCTACAAAAAAATATAATGATATTCAAATGGATATCTTGCTAAAGAACTATGTGGTAAAATAGACAATAAATTTCAACTCAAAATTACCTCCAGGTCAACATATGCTGGGTCTCTACCAATTGATTTAAGAAACTTGTCCAGATCATTGGCATTAAGAGCTGGTAACAAAATATGAAATATCAGAGGCTAACTTAACAAACTAGAATTTGGAATTCATTAAGATAACACCTTACTATGTAATGCAAATCTAGTACAATTACTATTACAAGAGAGCACTGTTATGCGTTATCCAATGAAGCAGATGATCTAAAAGCACATGCTGAGTGCAGTAAGAATCCTTCATGAGTAAGGAAATTCCATTACTCAACACTTTTCACAACTATGTGAAAACTCTTTTACGACCCCCTGAACTTGTTAATTTTAGTTAAAAAAAAGTTTTACCGATATAGATTTGAACCTTTGGCTTATAACTTTTTCTTAGTAGATGCAATTTTTTTTTTTAGCGCTCTGACAATTGTTAATAAAAAATCCTTAAACGCTTTCCACTTACAGATTGACATGTCATTTGACAGTGGGTGGAAGAAGCATCGTTCCTGAGTTTTGAATCCTTTATCCAACAACAGTCCAACATCTCTTTGCAAAAGAAAATTACAAGATATATTAGGTATACACTTAAGACAATATGCCTTGCTTTTGCTTGATTGCATGTTCTAATTATACACTTGATTGCATGTTCTAATTATACAGAAAAGTAAATAGCATAAAATGTCCTTTATGAGAAAAGACACTCCATGTATAGCCAACAAAAAAGAATATCAAGGTATGTCTACTTAATATTAAATAAATAACTCTAAATTTAAGGAAAGATAACAATATATGTTTTCTATTAAATTAAAAATCGAAAAGAGGAAAAGATAAAATTCANGAGAATAATACTAAGGTATATACATAGTGACAAGTTGAGTAATCATAAAGAAACTTATAACAAGTAATATCAAAGGTTTCCTTATAGTGACAAAATCATAAAAATGAGATGTGGATTAAGCAAATGGAACATAGGTTAAATGTTTATCGGAAATGAAGAGTTATGAAAGTCATCTTTGTGTTGTGTTTCTAATGTACGAAAAAGAGGATGTTTTGGAGTATCATATTGACCCTTACATGAATCAAGACCTCCAACGAAGGAGATAATCTTCCCTTTTAGTTGTCCAGCATCAGCATCCACGGTCGCAGTTTTCAGGTGATGTGTATAGATAACAGCTACCTGAAAGTAAAATGTTCGATTTTTTTTTTTTTTTTTCCCACAAAGGTTTAAAGCAAATACAAATTTTGGATATTATATATGTAGATCTATCTAAGGGGGTGTTTGTCTAAGCTTATGAGCTGATCAAACTAGCTTATAGGCTCTAAAATTAAGCTGACATGTTTTTTTATAACTTTTTTGAGCTTATAAGTTGAGCTTATTAAAATAAAAAATAAAAACCAAGTATATTACCACATTATCCTTATTTAATTTTAAAATTCCATAGTATACCCTTGTTTTTAGTTATTTTATAATAAAATGTACTTATAAGCCACATTTTACCAAACACGTCAACAACTTATCAGTCATTTATAAGTACTTTAACCGAACATGTAATTTCTTAAAATTTTAAATTCTTATAAGCTAAAATTAGCTTATAAACACTTGTTGCTTATAAGCTAATTTTCATAAGCTCAGACAAACATCCCCTAAATATGAAGTATGCACTATATATGCGAAGTAAACTTAGGTCACTAGCAACTGATATGAACTACCTAATAAAGTATTTATGATAAGACATTCATTTGCAACATTTATACAGGGAAAAACAAAAATAACTAAAACTGAAAACAAAGATAATGAAATCATAATGTTACCACTACACTTTTTGCCTATTGTTCAATTTTGATGGACATATATACATAATCCAGATGACAAACAAACAATATTAGTGTAATGAGAAGTAGCACAATTGGCAAACATTAGACTCATCTATTGAAATCTCTACAATTTGGAGACATGATTAGATTTTGGCTGGAAGAAAAAAAAAAATTTGGGTTTTTTTTTTGGTTGATTTGCGGCTAGTGATTTTTTTTTTCTGGTTTCAAGTTACATCAAGATCTGATGGCAGTAGGGTAGTGGTGGTGTTTGGGCTGGATTTTATGGCTGGTGGTATTTTATTGGTTTCACGTTGCAGCAAGGTCTGATGGCAGTGGGGCAGTGGTGGTGTTTGGGCTAGAGATTTGTGTATTGGTAGATGATGATTAAGGTTTGTGAATTTGGCAGATTTGAAATGGTCAAGATGGCAGGATTTTGAATATTGGTAGTTGGGTTGGATTGATTGTAGTCATTTTCTCCTTCTTGGATTGATGATACTTGTTGGTGTTTCTTCAGCGGCTGCTCTAAAATGAGCAAATTTTTTTTTTAGAGATCAGAGAGTGGCTCTGTTACCATGTTTAATTGAAGAATTGTATGTTATCACTAAGGAGTTACATCCTTTATATAGGAAGTATACGATCTCCTAAATCCCCTAATTATGTCAATTGCGGATTCCACAATATTTTGTCTGACATAATTAGGAGATTACATAATTCGAAACCCTATATGCATTACAGTCTGCTCCTAATTTAACATTTTTAAAGGGTGCCCTATTTTCTTATAAAATGGATGTCTCTAAGTCACTAGAAGAAAACCTATATGAATTCTTAAAAATGACATTGACATTGAAAGGAATTGATCAGGAATTAGGGGATTCGAGTCTTGAATGATCTTTCTCATGTAGGTAGGAAACTTGTGTCCTTAGAAAAATTTCTGGAATTCCTTCAAGCTTGAGTAAAGCATCTTTATTTTAAGTACTATAGAAGTGAAGCCTATGATGCTTTAAGCCTTTAATCAAGGCTCCTCAAAACTGGTGAGAATATCCTACGTAGCTGAACCATCAATTCGACAATGCAAGTCATGCCATGGTTGTCTTGGACCACCACAACTAGTCTTCTGCTTAAGTTATAATTGAAATATTGATAAAAAATTGAAAGAAAACAGAAAACCTTGGCAAACAAATAATAGTAAATTGAACAAGATATCATTTTGCCTTCGTTTCTGTTAAAACTCAGACGTAAGGAAGAGCCCAACCTAAAAGGCCAACCTGATAGGTGGGACAGCCCTAGGCTTAAGTACCACACTTGGTGGGTGTGAAATCCTGATGTGGGATCCTAACATTGCACCCCCCTCCTCTTCAAGAGCTAACTTCAATGACACAGCTTTCACTCTATCGACATTGACCTAATAGCCCTTTTCCCCATTTGGGCGGCTTCACTCACCTATCAGTTATTTGATGTAGCACCCCCTTCCAAGGAAAGCACACTGCACCTCAATCTAGCTCATAAGTAGGCCTTTCTACACCCAACTCTCAACGGGAGCACCAATGTTAGAATTCAAGCCCAAGGAAGAGTCTAACCCAAAAGACCGGCCTGATAGGTGGGAGAGCCCCTAGGCTTAACTACCACACTTGGTGGTTGTGAGATCCTGATGTGGGATCCTAACAAATTCTTATCTCTTTCGACTTCATGAGCTTCCTGCTATGCACTTAGTAAAACATCGAATTCTAATAGAACTTCAGTTATATTATAAAATCAAGAATACTTAAAAAACCTGTGATAGAACTTGAAATTGACTTTAAAAAAAAGCTTCCTTTAATCTCATAATATAGCAAACAATTGAGAATAATACTAAGGTATATACATAGTGACAAGTTGAGTAATCATAAAGAAACGTATAACAAGTAATATCAAAGGTTTCCTTATAGTGACAAAATCATAAAAATGAGATGTGGATTAAGCAAATGGAACATTGGTTAAATGTTTATCGGAAATGAAGAGTTATGAAAGTCATCTTTGTGTAGTGTTTCTAATGTACGAAAAAGAGGATGTTTTGGAGTATCATATCGACCCTTACATGAATCAAGACCTCCAACGAAGGAGATAATCTTCCCTTTTAGTTGTCCAGCATCAGCATCCATGGTCACAGTTTTCAGGTGATGTGTATAGATAACAGCTACCTGAAAGTAAAATGTTCAAATTTTTTTTTTCCCACAAAGGTTTAAAGCAAATACAAATTTTGGATATTATATATGTAGATCTATCTAAGGGGGTGTTTGTCTAAGCTTATGAGCTGGTCAAACTAGCTTATAAGCTCTAAAATTAAGTTGACATGTTTTTTTTATAACTTTTTTGAGCTTATAAGTTGAGCTTATTAAAAAAAAAAAACCAAGTATATTACCGCATTATCCTTGTTTAATTTTAAAATTCCATAGTATACCCTTGTTTTTAGTGATTTTATAATAAAATGTGCTTATAAGCCACATTTTACCAAACACGTCAACAACTTATCAGTCACTTATAAGTACTTTAACCGAACATGTAATTTCTTAAAATTTTAAATTCTTATAAGCTAAAATTAGCTTATAAACACTTGTTGCTTATAAGCTAATTTTCATAAGCTCAGACAAACACCCCCTAAATATGAAGTATGCACTATATATGCGAAGTAAACTTAGGTCACTAGCAACTGATATGAACTACCTAATAAAGTATTTATGATAAGACAGTCATTTGCAACATTTATACAGGGAAAAACAAAAAGAACTAAAACTGAAAACAAAGATAATGAAATCATAATGTTACCACTGCACTTTTTGCCTGTTGTTCAATTTTGATGGACATATATACATAATCCAGATGACAAACAAACAATATTAGTGTAATGAGAAGTAGTACAATTGGCAAACATTAGACTCATCTATTGAAATCTCCGCAATTTGGAGACATGATTGGATTTTGGCTGGAAGAAAAAAAAATTTGGGTTTTTTTTTTTTTTGGTTCATTTGCGGCTGGATTTTATAGCTGGTGGTTTTTTTCTGGTTTCAAGTTACAGCAAGATCTGATGGCAGTAGGGTAGTGGTGGTGTTTGGGCTGGATTTTGGTTGATTTGTGGCTGGATTTTATGGCTGGTGGTGTTTTATTGGTTTCACGTTGCAGCAAGGTCTGATGGCTGTGGGGCAGTGGTGGTGTTTGGGCTAGAGATTTGTGTATTGGTAGATGATGATTAAGGTTTGTGAATTTGGCAGATTTGAAATGGTCAGGATTGCAGCATTTTCAATATTGGTAGTTGGGTTGGATTGATTGTAGTCCTTTTCTCCTTCTTGGATTGATGATACTCGCCGATGTTTCTTCAGCGGCTGCTCTACAATGGGCAAAATGTTTTTTAGAGATCAGAGAGTGGCTCTGTTACCATGTTTAATTGAAGAATTGTATGTTTTCAATTCATTAATTTATCACTAAGGAGTTACATCCTTTATATAGGAAGTATACGATCTCCTAAATCCCCTAATTATGTCAATTGCGGATTCCACAATATTTTATCTGACATAATTAGGAGATTACATAATCTTTATCTAATTACAAAATATTTACACAATATTATGAAAATCTTAACAGTCACGATTAGAGGTGGAAAAGTAACCCACCCGACCCGACCTGCGACAGGTTACTTCTTTTGGTGGGTTGGTCCTAACCCGCCCGCCAACAAAGGCAGGCCGGGTTAGGCCTGCCATTTTTGGGGTAATGGCTAGCCCAACCCGGCTTGCCAACCCTAACCCACCGGGTTAGGCTACGGGTCGGGCCAGGTTAACCCTATTTTTTG